TAAGGAAGAAGTTCAGAAGGAAGAGAGAAAAACTGACAAAGGGCTATTATTTCAGCTCATGTACTTTCAGTATCAACAACCAAACTCAGGGCTTCCCACTTGCGAGACAGGCATGTTGCCACTTACGCCATGCCTCCAGCCCAGTTTTTACTCTCTTTTACATGATTTTTGGCACTTCCCACATTTCTGCCAATGTGTAAGTATATATATACATATGTATTTGCACATATATATAAAGAAGTATACTTGGAAAAACATTTATACAAATAACTTAAAACCATAAGTGTCTAGCAGATGTACAGAAAATCAATCAGTATGCTCCAGATGCCAGGGGTCATGCCTATAATCTTAGCTACTTGGGAGGCTCGGATCAGGACCAAGCAAATAATTCATGAGACTCCCAGCTCCAAAATAACCGGAGCAAAATGGACTAGAGGTATGGCTCAAGCAGTACAGCACCTGCTTTACAAGTACAAAGCCCTGAGTTCAAACTCCAGTTCCACCAAAAAAAAAAAAAAAAGCTCAAGCAATGAAGCAAAGAGAGACAAACAAGAAATGGCAAAAGTCAAATTTCATAACCAACAAGCTAGCTACTGACATATAAAATGGAACATATCAAGTGCTGCCAAGGATGCAGAGAAATTATAAACCTTGTGTGCTGCTGGTGAGAATATAAAATGGTATAGCAATGAAGAAAACAAGTATGTTGATTCCTTAAAAAAAAAAAAAACTGAAAAATAGAACTAGCAACTCCATTTCTGGATAAATAACCTCCCAAAGAATTGAAAGCAAGGTCTCAAAGACACTGTACAACAAGAGTCATAACAGCACTTTTACAGCACTCAAGAGATGAAACCTAAGGATCCATCAGTACATGAATGAACAAAATACAATATATATACCCAACAGAACATTATTCAATCTTAAAAAAGCAAATTGTGACACATTCTACAACATAAATGGACGTAGAAGTTATACTGCTAATAAGACAGGCATAAAAAGACAAATACTGAATGATTCTACTTCATAAGATAACTACTAGTCAAATTCACTGACACAAACATTGGTGGATGGGCAAGAGGAGAACATGGAAAATCACTGTTCAATGGGTGTAGAACTTCATTTTTGCAAGATGAAGTTTTGGAGACAAGATGTACAATATAAGAGGACTTAACACCTGCTATAGTTTGGGCCTCTGTTGCCCTGCATATACATTTTCTAATTAAGTTCTAGCCAGTCTTACTGCTGCAAATCTCTCTACAGTCTAATCTACTCAGTAACTACAAACAGGTTTTCAACAAACACTGCTAATGCTACTGTTCTCCTTGCCCGCTGGGATGTTAAAACCGTCTGCACCCTGAAATTCAAGTGCCTTCCACAATGTAGTTCAACTTACTTTCACTCTTTTCTCCAAAAACTCTTAGCTGCTACAGTAACAACAAACTGCAGCACTTGTTATCAATTACTGAGGTCTGTCCTTTGCCTCTGCTGAGTAACTGCTTATCTGCTAACTTCGTTAACCATCATAATGTGTTTCTTGACAGGTATTACTGTTTTCAATTCCAGTCCATGAGTGAGTGAGCAAGCAAAGAGGGCAAATGCAAGTAAATTCTACTCTTACATACCAAAATGTAAAAGGATAAACACTGGTTTAAGGATTCAGATTTCATTTATAGCTCCAAGTCTTCCACTAGGTGGCACTGTTACCATTTACAAGTAAAGTGAACAATGCTAAGCATGTTAGCATGTCATTTTAAATCTGTTTCTTACTGAAGGGGAAAAAAGGTAAAATAGTAACATAATTTTACAATTTATTTTAAAATGGCCATTTTCACTTTGATAATGCTCAGCTAGTTATAGATATGTGTGCCTGAACACACAGGCTACTTATCCACAGTTTTGTTTTCTACGATTTCAGTTATCCTCAGTCACCACGTCCCCAGAACACTACTATATGAAGAATTACAATACTTTAAAGGGCTGGAGTTGTGGCTCAAGTGATATAGCATCTGCCTACCGTGCTCAAGGCCCTGGGTTCAATCCCAAGTACCATCAACAAAAATTAGCCAATTACTCTGGTTATAATTTTATCCAAACTCTCAAGTCTTTCAATCATTTTTAAAGTAGTTTTCTGACTTAATTACAAAATTACCAAGCATTCATTCATCTAGGATCTGAAGGCCTAATACCATTTGTTCATTCAACATATATACTCAAGAGCCTACCAAGAAAAAGATATTGTCCTAAACATCAAGGCTATGGCAAAATACTCTTCTGAAAAACAAAACAAGGTTCTGCATCCCACACACTCTGGGGACAGGTACACATGAAAGCTAAGTATGCAAAGTTTTAAATTTTCAAATGACATAAATACCACAAAGGAAAACAAAATAGCAATGTCACCCACTTGTGAAGAGGTGGGGAGAACAGTTGGAGTCCAAGAAAAGGGATAGAAGACCCAGTGAAGAGGTGACATAAGAACATAAACCCGAAGGCAAAGCAAGTGGCTAAGAAATACTCCTAAAATGAGCACATTTAGTACTACATTATCAACTGACAAAGCAAAAACCCTGAAGTGAGAATGGCTTCACCTGCTTGAAGAACAAAATGCAAGCTGGTCAGATGATACAAGATGGGGCTACGCAGACTCATGACTAGGCCATGTACTTCCACATAAAATGCAAAGGTGTAATGAGCCCCAGAGTGCTTTAAACAGGTGCAATGGAACCTGGTGTCTCCTTCAGAGACCCATCTGGGTGCACATGTAGGGAGATATTACAGGGATGAATACAGTCAGTGGTCAACAATGTAGGTAATGTATATACAACAACTAATTAGACAAGGGTGGTTTAGTTACAAAGCACATACCGTTCTGTTTAGTAAGACACAAAAAATCTGACATATGATCTTCTCCCTCCCCAAAGCCCACTAAAATAATAAAGCAATATATAAAGGCAGAAACTCACAAAGACAGAAAGGGGACCATAGTACCCAAACATTAAGAAACTTTTGAGAATAGAAAACATTGCAACATAGTCAGGTGTGGTGGCACATGCCTGTAATCCTAAAACTTAAGAGGTGTAAGAAAGATGGTAACAAGTTCAAGGCCAGCCTTGGCGAAATAGCAAGACCATCTCAAAACAAGTAAAATATTATTTTATATAAAGGCAAAATGGTGAAAGTGGTAGGAAAAAATAAAAATCCACCTTTCATAATCATAAATAGTTGAAATTATAAGTACTAGAAATAAAATAAATCAGCTGGCGGTGTGGCTCAAGTGATACAGTGCACAAGGCCCTGAGTTCAAACCCCACTACTGAGAAAGGGAAAAAAAACACCAAAATCTGGGTAATTAAAGGTAGCACATATGGGTCAGTAGCATGGAAAAGGGCCTACATGCTGGGCAGTGGTGCACATTGACTCTGGAAGTATATTCCCTGGGTTCTAAACAATTTGCTAGCTCTTTTTGACCTTGGGCAAGCTGCTTTTATCTTCCTGAGCCTCAGTTCCATGTGGATAATAACATATCCTGCTGTGTAGGGTTAGATGATTTATGTGAAATGTCTCGAGTTTATCAGTCTCATCATCTGTGACTATCAACTGAACTCTGGATTCAATGTACTGGGGAAAGAAAGGATTTTTGGGTGGATGGGGGTAATCTATTTTCTACACATACATTTCAAATATAAATTCTGTTTTTCACACTAGTGATAAATGGTCAACATAAGCAGTACAAGTAGAATAAAAAAATTGCAGTCTTCTCTTCAGTTTTCAAAAACATGAGACAATGCAGGCTTTGGAGTTTGATATTTATTTTTAGCAGGAAGAATATGCTAATGGTGGTGACATCTTTAGAAGATACGCCCATGTCCAATATCTGCAATAGAAGCTCAATAGAAGTTAAAGAAACCATACTAAAAGACTGAAGACAATACTCTTCTACATTACTTACCCTTAGTTCTGCAGATAATAAAACAAGTAACAATATATTTAAGATTAAAGTTCTAAGATCAAAAAAGAATGCTAACTATCAAAATCTTTTCAAGAAATTTCATTTTTCCTGTCCATGTCAAAGTGGGCAACCTCTTTGGCAGCAGAGTATAGTGTCAATGACTGAGTGTGTTTATGAGCAGCAAAGGAGGAAACTGAAACAGGATAGTACTAAATTGCTGAAAGTTTGGGGTGTCAAGTAGCTCTCTTACAGTTGTGGTGGCAAGTCAGTCCAAGTACCATTAGGGATATAATTACAGATTGCTGAACCAATAACAAAATAAGAATGAATAAATGCAAGTTAATACTGCATAAATAAAGGAATCAAACAAATTAGAAATTCTCTTACATAAGACATTGGTACAGCAGTAAACAATTTAAATAAGGCCTTGTCAACTGAATGATTCTTTTAAGTAAAACCAAATATACTTTATCTACCTTAGCTCAAAGGAAATATAAGTCTATTTCTTTTCACTTCCTCCTGAACCCCCACACTTCTCACCAACAGTACTATGCATTACTTGGTGAGCCCAGGAAATATGGGTAGGTAGGAATATATTAAGTGTCAGAATCAGGAGTAGAACAAGGGAGTAATTTGAAGACTTAATGATATACCTAAAATACTACAAGTACTCAGAATAGGAATTGAATAAATCCAGCCACAATTCATTGCAGATAATATCAAGCTTCATTTCAACTATTATTTTCCTATTGTTTTTGTTTTTGAAGATAAGGGTATAAATTGATAAATTTCTGCTATTACATAGAATTTTCCATTAATAATTTCCAACTATCACCAATTTTGCTAATTCTAAGTTTACTTAAGCAGGCTGACTTGGTTTAAGCACAGGGAAACCCATTAATTCAAGGAGAAGTTTACCTGGGCCACTGCCTAAAAAAAGTCTACGATACAAAACTTGCAAAGTGTACAGGTATATTAAGGTATGTTAAAATTCCTACCTAAAAGTAAATTAAATAAATAAGCACTAAAGAAGGAAAAGGTTACGCACTTCCAATTTATGTTCTTTCTCTGCAAGGGCTTCCTTTTGACAACGAAGAAAATCTGCTAACATTCGAGTGAGCTGCTTTCTATCATCTATTTCTGCCGCCAATCTGCCATTATAATCTGCCAGCAACATACAAGCATCCTCTACCATTTTAGAAAGCCTTTCTCCAGATTCTTTATCTAAGAAAAGCACAGGATAATATAATTATTACACAACAAAAACAATGGCATATGCTGTTCCCACATCCAGCTTCCCAAAAAAGGTCTGAATCACATTTTCTCTTCTTACCTGTTATTTTATCAAGTAGGGATACTTCTTGCACTTCGACAGGCAAGGAAGCTATCCTTTGATGAACTGCTGCATCACCTGAAGCTGCATTTTCTAGATCTTGTAATGCTCTAACGAGATCTAGAGTCTTAAAAAGTTATACAACTTCAGAACCAAAGTAAATAAATAAAGTTTTAACAAATACAAAATACTTGACATGTCTTTCATATTCCTAATTCTACAAGGTACTTATTATCTAACAGTTTCCAATATAAAGTGCTTCTGAAAAATGGTCCATTTCTTCTATATATTAAGAAAAGCAAGCTATACTATATGAATTATGGAAAATGTAAATGAAACAAGGCCTTGAGAAGCTCTCACTCCAGTGGTGGAGACAGTGTAAAAAGAATGATTTCATCATTAAAAGGAAGTGAGTGTTTAATATGGCAGATATATATTTATATGGAAAAAGGTAGGCCCTAGCTTCAACCTTACAGCATCAATGAAATAATATACGTGCATTACATTATCATTGTACGTATTACTATTATGAAGATTTTTAAATATTAAATTGGATACTGGGGAATGGGGGGTACAAATCGTCTACTACAGCACAGAAGAGTCAGATTCTATTTCTAAATGCTGTAATTAAGAGAAATGCAGTTTTGGATTATGTTCAAATATGATTATCTTCGACTATGCTATGGTTAATAAGACCATTAAAATATTTGTGTATCTGATGGCTAGTGCTTATATATTGCTTAGACAGTAAACAAATTATCATTACAATTACTTATTTATACTACTGTCATACAACTATGATTAGGAGGGACGATCAATTAGAATATTTCGGTTGCACTATTTCTTTTTGTTTTCCACAGCGCTGGGGATTGAACCGGGTAAAGCATGCCACGCAAGCACTCTAACACTACACCCTCAGCCTTAGTTGCACTATCTTCCTGGAGGCTATTGCATACCTCGACAATGAATTACCCTCAACTGCCCTACAATGCTGTCATGAGGATCACACTCAGATTTTTGGTTTTTTATTTATTTGTTTGTTGTTTTTTGTTTCATTTGACAGTACTGGGCTGGGGGATGGGTGTTACTGTAGTTGTTCCTGGTAGAACTGGATTTTGAACCCAGCGCCTCACATTTACCCAGAAGGCATCAAGCACTCTACCACTCAAGCCACATTCCCAGCCCTAGCTGTACTATTTTTCATACTTGCTATAATTAGAAGGAAAGAGCATTTCCTCGCTGGTGATCTCACAATTCATAATGCAAGTTATTCCAAAGAAAAATAATCAAATTTTCCTTTTACTACTCTCCATCTTTTTTGTCTTTTTTTTTTTTTTTTAAAGTTTCTAAGACTAGATCTAGGACTCTAGGAAAATGTGCGTGTATATATAGATATACTTAAACATACATGTATAAAACGTATATATGTTATATATAGAATATTACTAATTCTGTGCATATACACATCAGGTAATATTTAGCTGGATGTGGTGGCAGCCACCTGCAGTCCCAACACTCAGAAGGGTAAGGCGGGAGGATCACTTGAGCCCATGAGTTCAGGACCAGCCTATGCAACATAGCAAGACACCATCTCTTAAAAAATTAAGCCAGAAACTGGCAGCTCACACTTGTAATCCTAGTTACTCAGGAGGCAGAGATCAGGAGGATTGTAGTTCGAAGCCAATCCAGGCAAATTGTTTGCAAGACCTTATGTCAATAAAACCCATCACACAAAAAAAGTGATGATGGCATGGCTCAAGGTACAGGCCGAGTTCAAACCTCAGTATCACAAAAAATAAAAAGGGATTAACCTGATAAGAAATACATCAACCTACATGTGCTTTAAATTCATTTGAAGTGTGTGAAAAATCCCAAAAGTACACAAAAATAATTTTGTTATAAAGATCCTCTCTACAATGATAAAAGAGCAATGATAATTACCAGGAAGCTTGCTTCTTGTGGCCCCTCAATTAACTGATATAAAATACTATGTTTTAATCAGTCTTAGAAAACTCTAAAATTTTCTGGAGTTATAGGGAAAATTTTGCTTTATGATCTTGACAGTGTCTACCTGCTTAACTACAACTTGATCACATCACATACTCATATTCCTTTCCTGCATGAGTTAACTCTAAATCCCCAATGCCTGAGGACAAAATAAGTTTGATTAGATCCTGCAGAAAGAGATTTTAGCCATTCTAAAATGTCATAAAATAGTGACTACAAAGCTGGACCATTAAGAACTAGAGAACACAACTAATCTGAAGCAATTATTATACAATTAAAGCAATAGCAGTTTATACAGGCACTAGAAAAGGGTCAGATGATTACTCAAAAACATTTAAGTGCAACTGTGATTATTCTTTCATCAGAGTACATGGAAGAGAGCCAAGTCCTATACCTAGAACTCAGGCAAAACACTGCTCATGGAATCATAACAGGCTCTTAGTACAAAATGATTTTCTGTCATGAGCTACTGCCTAATAGGGAGAGACATACATCTTAGTGTTTGCTTTTTTTCCCCACTAAGGTCATGTATTCTTGCTGTTGTTGTTTGCAGTGCCGGGGATTGAACCCAAGGCCTTGTCCATGCTGTCAAGTATCTTAAAGGATTACTAATTTCAGGCAACTCACATCTGCTTCTGGACCAGAGCTCAGCAGGAAATAGGCCTGGACAAACATAATGAATTGTTTTTCTGTACCATTTCTAGCCCTTGAAGATATTTACCTTGTTTTAAGAGAATGACTTTTTCTTCATTTTCTCCTCTTAAATTTTATATGTCCCTCCTATACATTTCAAATAGAAGAAGGAGGCTTAAAGACTTGATTCCCACTTAATTAAAAGTTCAAAACGTCTTTCTAGAATTCACTGAATGGTTAAGGAATGTTATAATATAATACCTGAGAGTTCTTAAGGTATTAATATAACAATTCTAATTTATCTTATTTTTCCATAAAGTTGCAGTACTGTACAATTAAAAAGCATATTTCTGAATATATCTGTCACCTTAATACTCATTTTTACATGTTTGAAAGCAAAAGTGCTTATAGGACCAATATTCATCTCTAAGGATGGAATTTTAGTGTACTTACATCATATAACAAAGGATGTTTATCACATAATGTTTTATTTCAAAAATAAACTCTTCGAATAGGGGATATCTCATCACATCTAGTTATACTTAGCAACTAGAATTCCTTTCTATGCAAAATATACAATACATAACATACTACATGAAACATAAGCAATCTGCTAACCAGAAAATAAGAGATATTCATACATCTCCTTTCTTATACCTAGAACACTGAAATTAATAAAATCTAGTAGTCACACAAAGTAAAAGTAACTCTCAACAGAAAAAAAGTTACCTGTGGTGGTTCACCTGGAGATCCCAGAGAGGAACAGTTTTCATTTTCATCCACCTTTATTTGCTCATAAGTTCGCTTCCTTGTCTTTTTATCACCATCTGAATTGAAGAACATATACTTTTTTTGGTTTTTTTTGGTGGGAATGAGGTTTGAACTCAGGGCTTCACACTTACAAAAGCAGGAGTTCTACCAGTGGAGTCACACCTCTAGTCCATTTTGCTCAGGTTACTTTTTGGAGATGAAGTCCATGAACTATTTGCTTGTGCAGGCCTTAAACCAAGACCCTCCCAATCTCAGCCTCCCAAGTAGCTAGGATAATAGGCATGAGCCACTGGTACCCGGCTTAGAACATTTAAGTTTTAATGAAAGAATACGCCTTAATAAAAAGATCGCATTAGGTTCAAAATTATATACTTACACAGAGCTTGCTTAAGTTGTTCTAATACATCATTTTCATAAACAGATCTTTCTTCCCAAATAGATAACACTCTTCCAAGATGCTTCTTACAACTTTCATCAGTTTCACTAAACAAAAATAAATAAAAATGCTAACAATAAAAACGCATAGTGCTATTGAAAGGCTAATGGTGATTTAAAATGTAATCAAATATTCATTCTCTGGAAAAAACTATCCAGATGTTTTCTAAGCATGACTATGTGGCCAGCAGTTCAGGATAATGTGATCCAGACAGGCTCCTTATTTCCTTAAGAGCTTTTAAACATGATATTGAAAAAAATTACAAAAAACTGTAAAAGTTTCAGGACCAGCTACTAGGTGTTTACAAAGAAGATGCTCTAACGTAACTGGGGTTAAACCTGAGGGAGATTTCGAATAGGTGTCTTTTTTAATTTATTCAACAAATATTTATTGATCAAGGCATGGAAGATCAAATGAAACTTTATAACAATGATTACCCATAAAGGTTATAAAACAGAGCAAGGTGTTAAAGACAGACAATGGAGAGATCTAGCCCAGTTTAAGAGAGAGTGAAAGGAAGTGATATCCAACCTGAGATCTGAAGATTGGATATACAGGGAAATGGAAAAAAGATGACTTCCGGCCATTTCCTACCTGCTGCTTCATTGCTATCACTGTAGACTGAACCACTAGCTATCTCTTGCCTCGGTTTTTATAACATCCTCACTGATCTCCCAGCCTCCATTCTTTCACTCTACAAAGCTAATGTCAGATAAGATGATTGTATTCTCAATTCTCCAATGGCTACCAACCTTCTCTTTGGCCTGAACCAAAAGGTCCACATGCTCTGATTCCTGGCAACCTCTAGGTCCACATTCCCTAATACTTTCTCTATACAAATCACCTTGCTGATCCTCAAGCATGCCTAGCATCCCTAGCATCCCATCCTTTCCTTTATTTTCCCTCCCCTTCCCTTTCCCTAGCATCCCATCCTTTCCTTTACTTTCCCTCCCCTTCCCTTTCCTTCTTCTCTCCCTCCCTTCCTCCTTCCTTTTTCTTTTCTCTCTCTCCCTTCCTTTCTTCTTCTCTCCCCTCTCTGCCCCTCTTTCCCCTTCCTTTTCCTTCCTCCCTCCCTCCCTCTCCTCACCTCCCCACCACCACAGTACTGGGGGGTTGAACTCAGGGCCTTGAGCTCAGGGACTTGAGCTTGCCGGGTAAGTGCTCTACCACTTGAGGTCATGCCTCCAGCCCCACAGTTGTCTGTTTCTATCAAATATTCTCTTTGCCTAGAATCCTTTCTTCCTAGACAAATGACTCACTTCATTCTTTTAATCACTGTATAAATGGTACCTCCTCCAAACAGTTCTTTATCTCTTCATATAATTGAGCATCTTCATATCCTCTAATTCTTTCCCTGTTCATGTTTCTTTAGAGCATTTGAGATCTGACATTATAACATACATTCACTTGTCTTTCTAATATTTCTTTTATATCATCTGAAATGTAAGTTCCGCTAGAAAAGAATATTGTCTTCATTACTATATACTCAGGGTTTAGCAGGTGGTAAGTAGTCAATAAATATTTTATTGAATTCTATGGAGAGGCAACATATATAAAATACTTAAGGTAAAAGACATAGAAAAGGTTGAATTAGCTTAAACTGTATAGTAATAGACTGCATTTGGAAGAAATGTAAGATAGGAGTCTGGAGAGGTAGACAGCTCCATGAAGGCACATCTTAAATGTTGCTCAGAACTTTAGACTCTATCTCAAAGATGAGGGAGTGTTATGATTAGCTCTGCAACTCTAACTGCAGTTTCTCAAAAGGATTAAACAACACTAGAAGATATTCCAACTGTACAGAAAAGACATTATGGTAACTAGAAGGGAAAAAATGCAACTGAGGAAATGTATGCTACACAGGATATAGAGTGATAGAGAAAGAAGTGTTGAAGATGACATCTAATCTCTTGCATAGGCACCTAGAGAAATGGAGTTGTCATTCACTAAGAGACTGAAACCTAGAGGAGGAGCAAGTTTGGCAGGAAGCAAGAACATAATGAATTCAATATCAAACAGTTGAGTTTGAGACATTTAAGATGTATAAAGTAGGGGCTGGCGGAGTAGCTCAAGCAGTAAAGTGCCAGCCTAGCAAGCATGAAGCCCTGATTCACATCCCAGTGCCGCCAGAAAAAATAAAGTAAAAGTAAAACAAATAGTGTCTAAGATGTATAAAGTAGACATGTCAATGGGCAACTGGACATACAGGTCTGGAACACAGAAAAAACAAGGCGTGGAGAGTAAGATTCTAAGTTATGAGAATGTGGGTAATAACTAAATCCATACAAGTACACAAAATCAGAGAGTAAGTGAAGAACATGACCTCAGAAGAAGGCACAGGATTTAACTCTAAGAAACTGCAATATCTGAAAAGGGAGAAGATAATATCTAAATTGAGGGGTAAATAATACTTATTTAGAAAGCAACACACAGTATTTGATACTGTAAAAAAAAGTATTAAATATCTTTTGTGAGTAAAATTATAGAGCATGTGGTGAGTAGTTTTTCACTCTTATCAATCAACACAAATCACTTCTGCTTGTCAATATATGCTATAAATTGCATTGACTTTAATGTATACTCCAATAATATTTGCCCAATAATTTATCACAGACCAGCATATGTTTGGAAATAAATATTTTAAAGGGCATAAACTAATGTACACATTTCCACCCTCAGAATTATCTACAGAAAATTTTTCAACAGATTTTATTATCATAAATATTCTTTATTTCCAAAGCATTTTAAAATGTTAAGACATAAACTTAAACACTAGAAAACATTAAAATTGTTTTAAGTGGTATGAGGGAAAAGGGTACTAAATGCATCCAGAAAATAATAGCTGTAAAACAGTTTGATATGCACTCAAATTTTCAATTCAATACTTTGACAATTCTCAATGAAGTTTACTTTTGATCTCATAAAGGAAAGCTATAATTCAAGTATGCCAAAAGTCTACTTCAGCAATAGTTCAGATCTTCACAGAAACCATTTAGCTCACTGAAAAATACCAGTTAGAGATACCTGTAACCTTCAAAAATACACCGTCCCTGTTTTTAATAGTAATGGCTTAAGGTAAATTTTAGCAAAAGGGCATATACATTCAAAACAGGTTACCTAATATCCCAAAACAATTATCATACCTTGAAACATGTTTAAAAGCTTCCACTATAACTGGTGCGAAATCTTTTGTAAATTCTGGCCCCTTCCTTTTGCTGTTCTGAATGACATCATTGGCTAGGTAGAGAAAAGTAAGCTTCCTGTTGGGTTTGGCTGAAAAACAGTAAAAATAATAAAATAAAATTTAGTCCATATAAAATATCTTCACTTAAGTTAAACAAACTTTCTCAATACTAGAATTAAGTAGTTTGAGAACTTTATAAACTCACCATCTTTATGTATCTTGTTCAATCCTAGCTTCTCATTCTACTACCAAACTCATCAAAGTCACTGCTGCTAACTTCTATGGGATGATTACTACTCAACTTCAGGAGACCCAACATGAATGGAAAAAAAGAGAACCTAAGAGGCACAGCACCCAAACCACTTAATACCCTTTATTCCTAGTCTTACCGCCATTCCCTATTTATACTAGTATTTAAATAGTTTTTATGCACTGAAATTCTCATATCTGTAATAAAAATGCATCTGACTCTATTCTGTATTAAAATTTATTAAAACAATTAAAAAACTATATAAAATATAGTCATTCAAAATAAGATGGTAATAGGTAGTATTAAGATGGTGGGCTAAATCCTAAATTGAATTTAGGATTGTTTTGATAAATGTGTTGATTCAAAATCAGTATTAAGCTATTGTAAAATAGCAGAGTACAAAATGTAAAATAGGATGAAAGACCTATCACCTTCAACCAACTACATGTTTTCTTTACGTAATAAACATGTACCAAGCTAACAGACCAAATGTTCAAAGTTTAGATGTTTCCCTCATTGGAAGCACCTGCCTAGCAAGCACAAGACCCTGTGTTCAAACCCTGGTACTACCAAAAGTAAATAAACAAATAAGTTAATTAATTTTAAAAAAAGGAGGATAGATGTTTCCCTCTTTGGAGTGTGAGAACTTGAGTAACTGAATTTATCTTGAAAAACCATTACCCTACTTACTATATTCTGTGGGTGTGGCTATCCATCTCAGAAAGTTGACACGATTTCAACCATGGGTCACAGTACATTTTTATTGACTAAAATGTTAAGTAGCACAGTACTGCTGAATATGACTCAAACAAGACATATATATATATATACACACACATATATATATGCACACACATACACACATATGGGCTAGAGACGTAACTTATTGATAAAGTGCTTGCCTAGCACACACAAGGCCCTAGATTTGATCCTCAGCACCACACACACACACATGCAAAAAAAAAAAGGTTCTGGAAATTGTGCAACACTACAAATGTATTTCATACTACTGAACTATTCACTCACAAAATGACTAAAATAAATTTTATGTCAAATGTATTTTACCATAAAACAAAAATAATTAGAATGCTTTTAAATTTCAGAAATGCTTCAACAAGCACACTAAAGTAAAAAATAATTTACAAGTTTGCAAAATACATCTTCCAATATATCCCAAAGGACACTTTGTATATTAGAACTATGGACTGGGCCAAATAACAACACATTGTTTTCATTTTTTTCCCTGTGGAACTCAGGCTAAAATAAAAGAGATTCCTACAGGGCGCTGGAGGTATGGCTCAAGTGGTACAGCGCTTGCCTGGTAAGCATGAAACCCTGAGTTCAAATCCTAGAAGAAAGAAAGAAAAGAAAGAGAAAGAGAAAGAAAGAAAGGAATTCTACAAATCATACCCTTACTCAAATTTTCAAAGAAAACAAAATTTGAACACTTCCACTTAAAATCATGTGTACTTCTACACAGAACAAGTAATTAATGGGAATAATCACAATAAGCAATGTCAGAAGAAAAAAGAGTGAGTCTCAAATGAATCTGATTAATTTTTCAAAGAACCATAAATTGTTATTAAAGGAAAGCTAAACAAGAAGTTGGCACATGCCTATAATATCAGCACTTGGGAGATAGAGGCAGAAAGACTGAGTTCAAGACCAGACTATGATACATAGCAAGACCCTGTCTTAAAGAAGACAAGAATTGGGCTGTATTTCAGTAGTGGAGTACATGCCTAGCACAAGGCCCTGGTTTCAATCCTCAGCACTGGGGAAAACAAATAAATGAAAACAAGCTAATAAGAAGAGTAAACAAACCACCTTATAACTCTCGAAAGAAATACCTCTGTTAGGCAACAGAATATAAGACTAAACAATGGGTCAATGGGTCTGATCTAGGCAGTTCCTGTATGTTTGTTGTTGTTCATAAGGTTGCTTCAGACATTATCTACTTTCAAAATATCCCATCCAATTTAAATAATAGTTATTTAATGATGGCTATGTACCAGGAACATGCTGGGCACAAACCAAAAACAATCTTTCCTGTTCAATTAGAGTTTGCAAGCTCCATACGTGTCAGGTGATAGTTCACATCACTAAAATGCCAGTTTGCTTTCTGCCTTTATTTCTTCTCTCCACAAATGTATCCGACCAACGTGAAAACAATCATAAATATTACATCAAAGTTTCTATATGTGTGCACGATGCCACATTTGTATCAATAAATGATAAGCCAAATAAGTAGCACTCAGTATTTACATTATGCAGTACTAATTTATTATTTATTTATTATTTTGGTGGGGAGAGGGGAATAATACAGGGTTCTAACTCAGAGCTTCCCGCTTGCTAGGCAGGTGCTCTATTGCTTGAGCCACTCAGACACTGCTCAATTTCAGATGGAAAAAAGAATTCCATATTATAGCTCAACACAGAAGTAAAGTGAAAACTCAAATGAGAAACGAAAAAAATTTGTCTGCATGATTCTGAATATACCACAATAATTAATCAAAAAGAGCCTGTTCCAAACTCTAGATAATCTTCAGGATTTCCCAAGAATCATTTCTATCATCTCCATTTTAAGAAAAATTTTAAAATATTATTTTCCATAAACATTATTTCACTTATCTCTTCTGAAACCAAGAAATTAGTTACACGGCATTTCCTCTCATGTGTTCATGAGTTCAACTCTGGCTTTTAAAAGAAAGGCTCTGAATAGGAGAAGGGGACCAGGAACTAGAGAAAAGATGAGATCAAAAAGAATTAACCTAGAAGGTAACACACATACACAGGAAATTAATGTGAGTCAACTCCCTGTACAGCTATCCTTATCTCAACCAGCAAAAACCCTTGTTCCTTCCTATTATTGCTTATACTCTCTCTACAACAAAATTAGAAATAAGGGCAAAATAGTTTCTGCTGGGTATTGAGGGAGTGGGGGCGGAGTGGATGGTAAGGGAGGGGGCAGAGGGGGAGAAATGACCCAAGCCTTGTATGCACATATGAATAATAAAAGAAAAAAAAAAAAAGAAAGGCTCTGAATTTTTTCTTCTACTTTCTAGAACCACTTTCTCCAGACTCCCTGGTCTCCTAATTCTGTCTTCAGTCCTACTACAGCAACCACCCTCCCCAACAGTATGCCTATCTCCAACCTACCAGATCCTCTCCCAACTAAACCTTGATTCATTAGTACAGGAAAGCCTGGCAATAGATCTAATTCAGTCTTAACCTTTAGAGACAACGTAGTATCTAAGAGTTCATTTTTAAATAGTAGTGCAACAAACTAAAATTAAAAAACACGCCTTCAAGGAAACAAGTATTTTCTGTGGCCAAAAGAAAGAAAGGTATGAAGTATGTGGACGTGTCTGTATCCTGAGAGTAAATTCTCTGAAACTGTTTCTAAAAACTATAGACTCTAACAACTTAAAAGGTTTTTCATCTGTCCTGTGGCACTGTGGAGGAATCCATATTCATATGATTTGGAAGGCAGAAACTGCTTTAACTTATTTTCTTTGCAGCAGAAAGTACATAATCAATAGATGATCTTTGAGTGGATTTTACCTGTCCCAGACAGGACAAAGAGTTCAGTCAGACAGCTGTGTCTTTACAGCTGACGTGGGTGAAAAGTGGATAGAGTTAATGTACTACTGTTAAGGTTATCTGAGATTTTTGGCAGTCCATGACTTTCAAATAGTTCAGGAGGGACAGGCTCTGCTTAAAATCCTTCAAAGATTTTCTGTTCTCCTTATTTTAGTTTTTGGTGGAACTGGAGTTTGACTCAGAGCTTTGTACTTGGCAAAGCAGGTGCTTTATCGCCTTAGCCACACCTCCAGTCCATTTTGCTCTGGTTATTTTGGAGATGGGCTCTTGAGAACTATTTGCCCAGGCTGGTCTTGAACCACAATCTTCCTGATCTCAGCCTCCCAAGCAGCTAGGATTACAGGCATGAGCCACTGGTCCCCAGTTCTCCAGATAGCATTTTAAATACTTAATATGGATCAAAGATCCTACAAGTTATGGGTCACCACCCTCTTTTAACACCTCAACACTACTCCAAAACTTCCCTAATTCCTACCATCCAGAACTCACTAGTTTTCTCTGACCAACCAACCCACAAAGGTAGGCAGCCCTCATGTGCTCTCATAGTACCCCATATTTTACCTTCGACACACCTATCCTAACAACTATTTCATTAATGTAATACTTCTCAATTAAACTAAGTTCCATTGAAAGCAACAACTATCAAGTCTCATCTATCCATCTAAGGACTCAAGTACAACAGCTGGCTCACATTCTGCTCAGTATTACCATGAATAAATTTTAGCCTAGACCAATGCTTTTAATTACTTGTTCCACTAAGTTTCTGACTCCTTTTTTTTCCATCTTCTTTTCTGCAGTGCTGAGGTTTGAACTCTCAACTCAGGGCCTACACCTTGAGTAACTTCACCAACCCTTTTTTGTGATGGTTTTTTTTTTTTTTTTAAAGATAGGGTCTCACAAACTATTTTCCCTGGCTGTCTTCAAACCACAATCCTGATTTCTGCCTCCTGAGTAGCTAGGATTATAGGTATGAGCCACTGGTGTCTGGCAAGTTTCTGATCATTAACATTACCCAACAAAGATAAAGGGAAACACAAGGAAAATTACACTGCTCTCAGAAATTCCAACAACTAAGTGTTATAGCTCTTTTAGAATTGTCTACCAGGCCAAAAAAACTCTTCAAATTCAGATCATGAAGACTAATTTACTTATAGCTCTGGGTACTCTCCCACTACTCCCTCCCTCTTCCACTTTATAGAGGTTTTCCTTTTCTCTTCTCTTTTGAGATAGGGTCTT